TCTAAATCGAAGCAGTGATGTAAGGAAATTAAGCTGTCGATGTTCAGGATAGAACAGGGAGTTAGGAGGCGGAGACAGACAAGAGGCAGGTAGACCAATTAAGAACTATTTAAAAGGGGAGTGTGCTGACAGACCTCCCTGTCTTTATCTCTTGCCTTGCCAACCCTTAACCCAAAGAGCCACTAGTTATCTTCCTAAAACAGCTTGACTGACGACATTCCCCTCCCTCAGAAACCCTCATTGGCTCCTCAATTGTATTGTCCAGGAAATACAATTTATATTCCTTCTACCATTAACACTAGATTGCCTATGTCTGGGTTTGATCAGATGTGACTGGATCCTCTCCACTATAATGCGAAAATTGTGCTGTTTTGATGATGGTCCCTTACTAGTTGGCTGAAGGTCCTCCCATAGTTTATATCTCAACAACCTCTATGGGAATAAAGAAGGTACTTTTTTGTCTTACTATCTGTACAACATAGCATGAACTATACTCTAGAACAAATAAGACCTGGGTTCAAATCCCACCTCTGTCATTCACTAGCTATAAGATTGTGGACATATTTCATAATCCCTTTGAATCTGTTTTCTTATCTGTAAAATGGAGATAATTCTGATGTCATATGGTTGTTGTGGGTTTTAAATGAGAGAATCATGTAAGTTCCTTGGTATAGGGCCAGGTCCAGAGAAAGCATTCGATAGCTACAAACCCTTATCATGAGGCCAAAATACATTTTTTAAAACATAAATGAGAAAAAACCTCAGTGCTAAAACAGTTAAGGTCACTGGGGAGCCAGAGAGACTCACTTCCAACTGCCTCAGATTAACACCAATGTTGTTTCCCTTGTACAGATAACAAAAAAACTTCCTTTTTCATTCCTCAGTCTAGTCTCCAGTTAATCCTGAAATTGCATGTGACCCCACGTGAATCAAATAAAAAAGGAAAACAGTAATTATGCTGAATCAGACATTTTATATTTATATGTTTTAACCAGAGACTGAGCTGCAGAAGCCAGAACTTTTACTAAATTTTTTTTTTAACATGTCCAGAAGATACCTCCTGTAAACTACTTGGGACAATTTCTACAGTGATAGGCCCTATGGTTCAATTTGACCCTCCCCAAGTGAAACACAGAGCCAAACTGATGATTCCAACAAAACAGGAGATCACAAATTCATTGCAAAATCCAATACATTACTTAAGGTGGGGAAGGGGGACTACAAATCTTAAAGACACATGCTGTGTGTCATATATAATCAACTCACTATTAGAAAGTATTGCTACCTCTCCAACACACATACACATGCACTTTTTTTCCACGTAGTCATAACAGCTTATGAGTCCTGGAATCCTTTGTGCATGTACATATGTATGTGTGTGTGTGGGCACATGATCATAGATGCATTGCTCATGAACACAAAAGGGAACAAGAAATAAAAACTCCAAAACTGCAACTAGGGCACAAAGTTCTGAGTATCATTCAATGTCATTGTGAAGAGGACCTTTGGCAAGTTCATGAACGCTTCTAACCCATTGCCTCACTCTTAAAAACAATTTCAACATAGATGAGTAATAAAATGCCCATTGTTGCATACCCTTTACCTTTCCTTTGTCTTTATGGAGGGAGGCATAACGAAAATGGTTAGATTTTTTAACTTATTATCATTAGCATTTTCATTTTTACTAGTGAACTAGCTTTACCCAGTTAATATTCTATAGTATTAGAGTCCTAAATCCCTTTTGTCTTTGAAATGCCTGGGCACTCCCTTCTTGTCATCTGTATCACTTGTATGGCACTTATCACCACAGTGTTGTATTCTAATTTTGTGTGTGCCTGGTTTATCTCCCTACTAACAGGAAAGGTCCTGGTGGCAGAAGCCCCTCCTGCCTTTCTTGCTGTCTCCACAATGCTGAGTAGAAGATACTGCACATAGTAGGAGCTCCAAAAACACACAGTCATTGAAATCTGAACAAAAACAACCTTTGTGTTAAAGATCCCTTTTGATCATGGCACCTGGGCTCAGCATTATTTGAAAAGTACAGGGGTCAAGCAGACAGGCAATGCAGGACCTCAGTTGGAAGCCCTGTCAGCATGATGTACTCCCTGACACCCTTGAGAGCACATGAGATTATCCTAACTATGATCATAAAGACTGAGACTCCTCCAGAACATGGAGTATTCTTAAAGCCTGTTCAAACCTCTAGAAGGCAAGTGCAAGGCCATCTGGAATAAAACATTAAACTTGGGCTGAGCCTGGGGTTCAATGAGCTAGGAACCCAGACTTTGTGATACTTCACCTGGAAAATGATCCTGGGTGTTTTGCACTGAAAAAAGCACATCCCCCATCCCTGGGAAAGTGCCTGGCAATTAATCCATTCAGACCTAGGCTGAATACAAGTCACTATATTGACTATCCCCCTTAAAAAATGACCAAAATTATCTGAGTGTAGCCCAGAGAAGACAAGGCTAATGTATGCATCTGGAGAGGCCAGGGCAATGGTAAAGATTATGCCTGTTTCTATACTGGCCGTCTAAAGGTATTTACTTGGGTCCGTCTGTGTTGTGACAGTGTCCTAGACTCAAATGAATGCCTCTAACACTCCACATTTTTGAGCCATTCAGTCATGCATTTTTGTTATTGTTGAAAGTGGTGCGAAATTGCACTGCATGAGCTAAAGTCCTTGGTGGTCTTCCAAGGATTCCAGCTAAAAAGGCACTTCCTTTGTTCCTCAGGAGAATGCAGTCCAGTAGGTCATTCAAAAGGGGAAATAAAAGCAGCAGCCCTGGGAGGGAGATGAAGGACAAGACAAAAAGAATAAAATGTTTTGGGTGTGAGCACATTAGCTTCCATTTCCTGCTGCTGGTCACTAATAACTCCCCTATCTTTGGCATGGGGGAGTGTCCAGATAGACATATATGCAAATATCCCTCAGGTGATTTCTGGGGATGATGACAATCAAAGGGAACACCCAGCACAGAGTCTCTGAGCACCCTTCAAGCTTCCTTTTTCCTGAGATGCTGGCTGGGGAAGATGCCCTGCCACAGCGAAAGACTGCACAGAGCAAAGTTGGGGAAACTGGGGAGGGCAATTTCACAACCCCACTCGCTGAATGCCTGCAGTCAATATCAAAGGCACATATTGTTTGCATGAGCAGAAGATGAAACCTTGTCACATTCCCATTAAGTACAGAGCTGCATCTACCCCTTCAAAATGTGGGAATGACAACTGTAACCTTCACGCCAATCATCTCCACTGTGCCCAGGCCCAAACTGTGCAGGGCACAAAGGCCCCAGGTTTGACCTGCAGAGCCCCCAAGCTTCAGCGGCTGCTAGTTCACTTCATTTTTTTTTTCTGGCGGGGCCTGAGGAAGGGAAAGAAAGAGGGCTTTTCAGGGCTCTACAACCAATAAAATCGTGCCGCTTTGAGGACATACTTGAGCTCCCGAAAAGACAGGCAACTGAAGGGCAAACAGTGTCTAATCAGTAGTGAGCATGTTATTTGGTAACTGCCAAGGTGCAGTGGGCGCCTGGGCTGCTCCAACAATTTCTTCGGTTCTATTTCTAGACAGATGCCAGTTACACTCCAAAAGTTCCCAACAACTTCCCTCAATTACCTTTGTAATTTATATGTAATTGATGACTGCACTTAATCTCCAAGGTTATTAATAGCCCTTCCAAAAAATGACCCCCAAATCTCCCTAAGCCTTTGGAAGCGCCTGGTTGAAATTACAGTATTTCCTTTGCTGGCTGCCCGCCCCACCCGGAGACCAGCACGGCAAGGCAAAGGCGCGCTCCACTCACTTCCATGAAAGGTTCGGAGTGGAGGCTCGGCCCCCCGGGCTCGAATCTCTCACTCCTCCGTTAGATTACGCTGGCCACCAGCCAGCTAGATTCATGGTGTTTTCTGAGCCCCCAGGGCGAACGGGCTACCTGCGCGGCCGGCGGAGCTGCGCGCAACAGTTGGCCGCTGCTAAGAAGAGAGTGCGACCCGGAGGGGACCCGGCCGGACACCGCCGCCGGCCTCGCTGGGAAGGACGCAGGGCACCCGCCGAACGCTGCCTCCCCAGCGCTCCGAGAGAGGCTTTCACAAATACCCCCATACGCGCCCCCATCCCACCCCACCGGCGCCAAAATCCGGTAAACTTTTTCACAGGCTAAACCGTCTCTATTTGCATAACCATCTCCAAACTGAGATTCAGGTTTCCTGTAATCAGTCCTTTCAAAGGTCTGTAATTGAAAGTGCAATTAACCCTTAAAATGAGGTAAGAAAAAAGAAAGAGGAGAAAAATACTCCTCTGGTCCGATACCTTCCGGAAAGTAGGAGACTTCCCAAAAGTCAGGGTTTGGAGGGGTGGAGAGTAGGGGTAGTCGTTTGCTTTTTAAAGGCGACTTCTAAAGCCGTTGAGGCTACTAAAACTCCTAATCCGTGTCAGCGGTTCAAGAGAGGCGGGGAGAGAGTTTTAAAAGAACAACAATGAAACATCAACTCAAGTTCCACGTTTTGCGACCCCCAGAATCTAGCAAGCTCCGGAAGGTTTCCCTCCACCACACCCCACTGGCAACCCCCACCCCCACCCGACCTCTCGTGGTCACCCATACAACAAAGCGGGGCGTCCTATAAGGAGTTCAACCCGGAAAAGGCGAGGAAGCCGGTAACACGCACTTTGACGACCAGTATCCCCAGGGGCTTCCCGGGACGGCGAATAATGCAGGGGGGAGGCGGAGCGGGAGTGGGGAGCGGAGCGCGACAGTGGCACCGGGCAACCCGGCGGCTCCCCTCCACTCGCAGTGCTGGAGGCGGGGAGCGCCGCGCCGGCGGGGAACGTCCTGCGCCCGGGCTGCCTGGCTCTCTCGCTCGCTCCTGCTCTCTCGACTGCCCATTTCTCCCTCTAGTGTACCTGCGTCCGGCGCTGAGGGCGGCGGGGCGGGGGAAGGGGGTTGCAGCCACCTTCCCGAGGTGTCGGTCTCTACGCCCACCTCCCAGGGGTGCCCACCTACCGTTGATCTCGTGGAGGGGGGCATCGTTCTTGTTGAAGCCTTTGGACACGTAAAGACGTCGCACTTCCGAGCAACTTTTCGACTTGAGCTCGGCAGCCTGCAGCAAGGCGTTGAGCACTGCCAGGGTGCAGAGAAGCGCGGGCAAGCCGAACCGTGCCATGGTGCGGGCCGGGGCGGACGCGTTCCCACCTTTGGGATTGGACAGGAAGCGGCGCTACGGCAGCGGGCCGAGGGCTGGCGGAGTCGGGGACTAGCGAGTGGAGCTAGAGGGAGAAGGAGTTGGAGTTGGTGGAACAAGCGAGCAGGCGGAGGAGCCGCGGGGCAAAAAGTAGAGCTGGGCCTCGCGTCAGGCAACGGTCCCCGGTGCCAGGCGGCGGGCCAGGGTAAAAGGAGGAGAAGGAGGGCGTGGAGGCTGCGTGCGGCCCAGGGAAGCAGAGGCGAGGGCCAGTGACCTCGGGGTTCCGCGGGGCAGCGAACCCGGCAAGCTGGCTGGCCGGCGAGGCGGGGACGTGGAGAAGGAGGGAAGGGTGGCAGGCGCCGCAGGGACCGCAGAGGGTGTCGGCGGCGGCGGGCGTTCGCTGCGCGCGGCTTGCGCTGCCCTGCGCTGGTCCGCTCGTCCGGCTGGACTCGGCTCGGCTGACTCTGCCCTCCGCCGCGCGGCTGTGCCCTTCTCAGCTCTGCCGCTGATTGACTGGCCGGCGTGCGCGGCGACGCTCCGCAAACTTGGCCAAGCGGGCTGCACTCGGGGGGAGGGGGCGGGCGTCGGGGGGGCCGGAGACAGGCGGGAGCACGCTGGGCCGGGCCGGGAGAAAACCTGGAAGCCGGGTTGGATCCGGAGCGGTCAAATCCACTTCCTAGGGGGCCGCACCGGGCGCCCGGCGCTCCTTCGCATGACACGCCCCACCCGGCTCCTCCTTCCTCCCCTCCTCCTCGGAGGCGGGGAGCTCGCCCACCGCCCCCCAACCGCGAAGGGAAGGCCAACTACTCCCGGCTGAAGGGCCCAGGTTCTGGGGAACGGGACGGCCTGGGACTTGTCCCCGAAGCCCACGTCTGAGCCGCAGGCCTTGCGCGCGGCCACCTGACCCGCCGCCTATGGGCAAAAGCCGCGCGGAGCCCCTCCCGCCGCGATATCCGCCTCCCCGCTGCCATCCCGCACCCGCGGACGCTCCTATGCGCTCAGCTCCCGGGCTGGGCGGGGAAGGCGCATTATTCACATTGTTTCGCTGCAGGCAGCGGGGGGATTTGGGGCTCTGAGCGCGTCCTAGAGCCTCACCTGGTCTCCCCAGACCTGCTACCAATAGGACGGTGCTCGTGAAACACCAATTTGTCCAGGACCCCGTCAGGCATTCTCCTTTCCGCATTCGCAACACTCCACCCCCTCGACGCCACTCCCACCCCGACCCGGTTCTGCTACAAGTCTAACCGAACCCTGAAGCGGGAAAAATCCGCAACCGCGAGGTGAGGGGGCAAAGTCAGGGTTGACCGCAGAGATCTTGGAGACCATTTGGCCCAACCCTTCCTTCTATTAGGTAGGGGAACTGGGGCCCAGAAACGGGAAGCGACTTGGTAATAGCACGCCGGGGTAGGGGGCGTCCAGAACCCGGGACTCTTGACTCGAATTTCATGGAATAATGGTAGCCCAGGACCCCCAAACCCCCTACCCACTCAAGCCCCGTGAGAGAGACTGACACCCCTCTGGGACTCAGTCCCCACTTTTCCACCAGAAAACTGGAAATGGGCGAGACTTCCTATCTTGCAAGCTTTGTCAGATTCCATTAATGAGTGTTTTTTGAAGCTCCCAGGGCTCCTTAAATGAAGGGAACTGTGCAGCTCGGGAACTTGTCATTACCGTTGTTATTGTTACAATCTTCTTTAAGAGGTTGGGGTGAGAAGTGCCTCAGACACCTCGGGAGTGTGCTGGGAACTGGACAGATAAAAAGGGCTGGAACTTATTATTTGGCTAGACTCTCAATTCCCATAAAATTACATAGGGCAAAGATACGAACCATCATTACAGTTATCACCCTCAGAGGGTTTGTTGAGACTTTCTCCACTGTTGTTTGTAAACCACGTTGATATGGCTGGCTATGAGTAGCTGTTATTTTGAATGCCCGCTTGCAAACTCTTCTACATTTTGTTAACAGACCATCAACATAAACAGATAGATTGTGACCCGTCTATAACTGTGACTTCCAATTTCTGTGGGCTGGCAGAACATTTAACTCTGAAACTAGGAGAGCAGTTTTTTTTTTAATGTGCAAACTCAACTACAATTGAATTTCCTGCCATTTTCAAGACTTTCCTTAAACTGGTAACCATCAAGTCCTGAAGGCATTGCTAGGGCTTAGCTGAGCACTTTTAATTTTCATTGATTGATACATTTACTTAAAGATGTTCTTCACCAAGGAGAACATGCTCTGAGATACAACCAACATTATTATAAAATGGAAACCAGTGACCATAAGGGAGAAAATGATACTCCTAAACCACGAAGGCCAAATCAGAAAGCTGCTTCTCACACCAAGGCTAGGAGGAACTCATTTGTTGCCGCCGCCCCCGCCCCACCGGGTTTACTCTTGCTCTTCCCCATAATGTATTATTAACCCAAACTTGAGCCTTTTCCACCAGAAACAGTAACCTCTGGCTACAAACAGATCTGGACAAGTCTGAACTTTACCAAGGGAGGCAGGAACCCCAAGCCCTGCTCAGAGGCGGCTCCCACTTCAAAGCCTCCTTTCATTTAAATACAAACAGGGTGAACAACTGGCAATCTACGAAACAAATACCATCCAGAAGGGAAGCTTTTCAGATGGGCCAGAATTCCTTCTTCCCTCTCCAACTCCCATCCCTGCTATCTTCAGAAGAGGCTTCTTAGTGGAGATGCACCTACTCCTTGTAAGTTCTCTCAACGCCAAAAAATGAATTGGAGGCTACATGTTAAATGCAAAAATCAATGACTTCTCAGGCTGATTAACCTTCATATAACCTTTTTTTTTTTTTTTTTTTTTTTTTTTTAGTATAAAGCACACACTTAGGCAATTTGGTACCATTTTAACCATTTTGAAATGCACACTTCAGTGGCATTTAGTACAATCATAATGTACAGCCATCACCACTAGTTACAGAACATTTTCATCACTCCAAAAGGAGACCACATACCCATTAAGCACTCAAAGTTCCTTCTCTTCTCCCTCCAGTCCCTACAAACCACTAATCTGCTTTGTCTCTATGGATTTGCCTATTCCAGACATTTTGTAGAAATGGAATTATACAATACAGGGCTTTTATGTCTGACTTCTTTCACTTAGCATCATGTTTTCAAGGTCTATCCATATTGGTATCATGTATCAGTACTTCATTCCTTTTTATGACTGAATAATGTTCCATTTACAGATATACCACATTTTGGTCATATAGCACTTTACAAGTTTGCACAGTGCTTCCAGGTGCACCCTTGTATCTTAGAACATTTTGTTTGTTTTCTGTTTGTTTGTTTTTAATTGATAAGCAAACCAAGTCTCAGCAAGATTCTGTGGCTTGTCCACAGCCACAGAGCTCTTGGGTGGCTGAACCAAGACTGAAATCTAAGGCCTCTGACCAAATCCCATGCTATTTTTGTTGTTGTTGTTGGTGGTGGTGGTGGTGGTCAGAGAACACAGTGCTCTGGGTCTCTTTTAGTGTCAGCAGTGAATGTACAACTGCCAAGGTCCTGTGGAAGTATCCTTGTTTTAGATTGATAAATGTTCATTGAACACCTCCTATGTGCCTGACAATGTTCAGTCCTAGAGGAAGGGAAGATGTATAAGCCAAAAGGAGTTTACAGTTTTATAAACAGTGTGCAAAGGCTTGCTTAGATAGAATGCACTAATGGTATACTTATTTTTCCCAGGTCAGGAGTTTCCCCTGATGTGACACTTGGAGGGGGAGGATACATTTGCTGGTGGGCAGAGAGAACAAAGAATACATTCCCATGCTTCTGTCCTTTAATCCAAGAGAACTAATTGAGCCAGGTCTACTCTCTCAGCTTTGAGGACACTTCTCATGGCCTGCTGGGTAGCTACCCTGATTTCTAAATATGGTGCTGGGAAGAACCAAACCTGGGCACAGTGGCTCATATCTGTTAGGAGGCCGAGGCAGGAGGATCGCTTGAGTCTAGGAGTTCAAGATCAGCCTAGGCAACATAGTGAGACTTTGTCTCTACAACAAAATAAAAATTATACAGGCATAGTGGCGCACACCTGTGGTCCCAGCTATTTGGGAGGCTGAGGCAGAAGGATTGCTTGAGCCTGGGAGGTAGAGGCTAAAGTAAGCTGTGATCACACCACTGCACTGCAGCCTGGGTGACAGCATAAGACCCTGTTTCAGGAAAGAGAAGAGAGGAGAGGAGAGGAGGAGAGGGGAGGGGAGGGGAGGGGAGGGGAAGGGGAAGGGGGAAGGAGGGGAAGGGAGGGGAAGGGAGGGGAAGGGAAGGGAAGGGAAGGGAAGGGAAGGGAAGGGAGAGAAGAAGAAAGGAAGGAAGCTCCCTCCCTTAGTTAGGGTAAGATGTTGGCCTGCAGCCCTCTAGTCTTTCCCTGTATCCAGCCCATTCCCCACACAGCCATCAGAGTGAGGCTTTGACAGCATCATCTGGACAATGTCCTTCTGGCTGATTTTTGTAGAGACATTTTGTCATGTTGCCCTGGCTGATCTTAAACTCCCAGGCTCAAGTGATCCTCCCATCTCAGCCTCCCAAAGTGCTAGGATTATAGGTGTGAACCACCATGCCTGCCTCCCCCCCCCACCTTTTTATTTTATTTTATTTTATTTTATTTTATTTTATTTTATTTTATTTTATTTTCTCCCAAAGTGCTAGGATATAGGTGTGAACCACTATGCCTGCCTCCCCCACCTTTATTTTATTTTATTTTATTTTATTTTATTTTATTTTATTTTATTTTATTTAAAACAGGCTCTGCCCAGGCTAGAGTGCAGCTTCCACCTTCCGGCTCAAGTGATCTCCCAGCTCAGCTCTTCCATAGCTGACTACAGGCACGTGCCACCATGCCCAGCTTTTTTATTTTTTCTGTTTTGTAGAGACAGAGTTTCACCATTTGCTTAGGCTACATTTCCAGCTTTCTACTGGCCCTTCCCTGTCCTGTATCCTGTGCTCCACCACAAGAATGTGTCATCACATCTGGCCATCTCTAAGGATTTATCTAATGTACCCTGCCCCCTTCTTATAACTATCCTTCGCTCCCTTCCCCATTTCTTGGACAATTCTTTCATACTCATGCTTCAAGACTCAGCTGAGAAGTCACTCCTTCTGGAAAGCTTTCCTGATCTTCCAAGCAGAGCTAGCCTCTCCTCCTTTTAGGCTCTAAAGCACTGTCTGCATAAAATGACTAAGGCTGACTTGCCCTTTAGCAGAGGCCACACTTCTTTGAGGAGTTCCTCCACTACCAGCCTCCAAGAGCCTCTTCTAGGCTTGCTTATTTTATTTTATTTTATTTTATTTTATTTTATTTTATTTTATTTTTAAAACAGGCTCTGTCGCCTAGGCTAGAGTGCAGCTTCCACCTTCCTGGGCTCAAGTGATCCTCCCAGCTCAGCCTTCCGAGTAGCTGGGACTACAGGCACGTGCCACCATGCCCAGCTTTTTTTATTTTTTTCTGTTTTGTAGAGACAGAGTTTCACCATTTTGCTTAGGCTACATTTCCAGCTTTCTTACTGGCCCTTCCCTGTCCTGTATCCTGTGCTCTGGCCCCACAAGAATGTGTCATCACATTCGCTATCTTGCGTGGATTTATCTACCTGTACCCTGCCCCTTCTTATAACTATCCTTTCGTTCCCTTCCATTTCTTGGACAATTCTTTCATACTCATGCTTCAAGACTCAGCTGAGAAGTCACCTCTTCTGGAAAGCTTTCCTGGATTCCTCCAAGCAGAGCTAGCCCCTCCTCCTTTTAGGCCTCCAAAGCACTGTCTGCATAAAATGACTACAACACTTGTTCCTTAGCAGAGGCCACATTTTCTTTGAGAGTTCCTCCACTACCAGCCTCCAAGAGCTCTTCTAGGCTTGCTTTATTTATTTATTTATTTATTTATTTATTTATTTATTTATTTATTTAAGGCCCAGCTTACAGCCATTACTTTATGTATTTATTTTTGGGAACCGAGAGCCTGCCTCTGTTGCCCCGCTGGAGTGCGGTGGAGCAGTGCGGCTTCTGCAACCTCACGCCTGCAGGCCTCAGCGTCCTCCCACCTCAGCTCCCAAGTGGCTGGCATCACAGTGCACACCACCATGCTGTTTTTGTATTTTGTAGAAGTGAGGGTTCGCCATGTTGCCCAGGCTGTCTCGAACTCCTGGACTCAAGCAATCTGCCCATCTCTTCCCAAAGTGCTGCAGGATTACAGGCAGGCCGCACCTGGCCTTGACTTTATTTTGTTGCATGCGTGTTGCCTTAAAGGAAGTACAGGTTCACCAGATGGGCAGTTTCCTGGGAGGGAATAAAAAGACCTACATTCATATTTGAAACTGATTTTTAAATGTTGGCATTTCAGAACTCTTAAATGTTTGTTTGAGCCGGGCGCGGTGGCTCACGGTTGTAATCCCAGCACTTTGGGAGGCCGAGGCAGGCGGATCACGAGATCGGAGTTTTTATTTATTTATTTATTTATTTATTTATTTATTTATTTATTTATTTTTGAGACAGAGCCCTGCTCTGTTGCCCAGGCTGGAGTGCAGTGGAGCAATCTCGGCTTACTGCAACCTCCGCCTACCAGGCTCAAGCAATCCTCCCACCTCAGCCTCCCAAGTGGCTGGCATCACAGTTGCACACCACCATGCTAATTTTTGTATTTTTGTAGAGACAGGGATTTCGCCATGTTGCCCAGGCTGGTCTCGAACTCCTGGACTCAAGCAATCTGCCCATCTCCGCTTCCCAAAGTGCTGGGATTACAGGCTTGAGCCACCGCACCTGGCCTTAGGCTTTATTTTTATTTGCATGCGTATTGCCTTAAAGAGTACAGGTTCACCAGATGGGCAGTTTCCCTGGGGGAATAAAAGACCTACATTCATATTTGAAACCTCCTGATTTTTAAATGTTAGCGACTGTTTCAGAACTCTTAAATGTTTGTTTGAGCCGGGCGCGGTGGCTCACGGTTGTAATCCCAGCACTTTGGGAGGCCGAGGCAGGCGGATCACGAGATCAGGAGATCGAGACCATCGTGGCTAACATGGTGAAACCCCGTCTCTACTAAAAATGCAAAAAATTAGCCGGGCGCAGTGGCCGGTGCCTGTAGTCCCAGCTACTTGGGAGGCTGAGGCAGGAGAATGGAGTGAACCTGGAAGGCGGAGCTTGCAGTGAGCCGAGATCGCGCCACTGCACTCCAGCCTGGGCGACTGAGCAAGACTCCGTCTCAAAAAAAAAAAAAAAAAAAAAAGTTTGTTTGACAGATTCAGCCCATCTTCAGCCGAGATTTCACCCGGTAGCTTTCCTCCCCTGCCCCATGCCTCTCTTTCAAGCAACCAAGCAATGTCTTCTGTTTACTTTGTACAAAGGTTGATTCTGTGAAGGTTCCAGAAACTTAAATGATAGATGCCTTTGAGGATCTGACAGCCTGTTTAGGGAGGTAGGACCCATATATACATGGAGAAAGACACTGGCAAATATAAGGCAATGCATGTATGCCAGTCATCCTGAGACAGGAGAATAGGGTCTGGAGGCAGGGAACCTAAGGCTGATTCACGCTGACTTCCTAGAACCAGGTCAAAAGGAAAAACCCAACTTTCCACGCCTAAGTAACAAAAGGACCAGAGGCTACATCTTTTGTAAGCCTCCTTCCTTTTTCTGTGTGGCAGATGGAAAATTGAAAGTACCTCTGATTGGTTGCTTTTTGAAACCAATCAGACGTTTG